TATATTGATAGTAATTGATGGTTACCTAACCTAAAACAGTACTATAAATTAAATATCCAATAAGTTGCAAGGATAAAATTATAATTGATTCCATTTGAAATATATCTAATATCAAATATTTACAATTAATTAATGATAAAGTAACATCAAGAAAGAGTCATACACTCAATGTCAAATATTCATATTCACCACAGGGTTAGACGAATGTAATTTATATATTTTGAATTTTATTGAACCGGTTCTTAATAATGGTATCTAAATGAACAATTTTTAAAGACAATTGATAAATCGATAAAATTGATGCTTTTGAATTTTATGATTCCAAACATAGGTGTAAAAAAATATTGCAATATCTCGTCATTTGAGTAAATATAAATAGTGCTGATATTTTGATAATCTTCGTTACTTTTATTTTCTAGATAGATTTTCATGGGTGTACAATTATAATATTAATTTTAGAATACAGTAACGGATGTGTCATTTGTATAATAATTTCATATATAAGAACAAATTAAACATATTAATTCATATAATCCGACGATTTAATTTTTTATTTAGAAAACTATATAACTGAATGAACACAATATATTCAAAGATTATATAGACATTCTTTTCAATAATCATTTAAATACCATGATGGCAAAATAAATATTTAAAAAATCTTGATCAAATTCATTTTTTTTCTTACAAAATTAATTAAAATATTTCCAAAACGGATTAAGCCATCCCATCAAATCAATATGTCCCGGATACCGTATTTTCAGTTCACCGAGATCATTATGTCCGGAAGCACCGTGATGGAGACAAAAAGAAAAATAAGCACTCGATCATTATATAATACAGCGATTCCCAAACTGTGCACCACGGTGCCCTAGGGACACCACGATCATTTTCTAAGGACACCGCGGTCTACGTACGGTTCATAACAAATAGTTTAAAATGTATAAAATTGTTTTTCCTTATGGTTTTCGTAAAAACTTTGTTGCAAATAATGTAATATTTTTTATTGTATATTCGGATATTCTCATTTTAACCTTGTAATAATTTTATATAATAATTATAATCATAATAACAATAATTTTTATTTATTTATTTTTTATGTTTAAAACTCCATTAATTTATAATTAAGTTAAATTTTAATAAAATTAATAAAATTGGTTATCAATAGGTTTTTTTTTGTTCTGTAATGTAGTTCACAGCAGGTACCGTGGCTAAATTGGGTACAAAAAAAAAAGGTACCGCTGGAAAAAAGTTTGGGAACCGCTGATATGAAATGTATACAGTTGTTGTGTACTACGTATATTCTATGTATACTATGTATACATCATATACTATATATTATATTATATATCTATAATTCGTCCGGGTGCCTTCCTAGTCCGGGATGAAGCGTGTATCTATATCTATTTGATAATACATAGTGTACGCATTGAATCACCAATAGTATGTACGGTCTTGAACTGACACGTTTTTAAAACGCATAAACATCGTGTAGTCGGTCAGTCATTTGTACATACGGTTAGTTTCCATTTCACCGAATTTTTTTTTTGAATAACTTAGTTAACAAATTACATACCAATTAATTATATTTATGTATTATATAATTATATAAAATAACATTATCATATAAACAAATAAGCATATAAAATGATATAAAAAAGTTGTTGAAATTAGTTTAAATTATTCATTATGTTAAATTAAATAACTAATATTGTCCAAGTAATCAATCTATTTTATCTGTGGAGGACCACTTGTCACTCCATTGTACTGCGTCTATTGAAAAATTTAAAATTACTATAAATCGCAAATTCACAACCGTATTTCAAAACAAAAATAGTTTGAGAATTATGCGGCGAAATGGGTCGGCAGCAAAATGGCACGGAGGCGAAATGAAACGGCGGCGAAACGGGATACGATCGCTTATACGCATACAAGTATGTTCGGTAATAGTATTCGCAGCGGAACTATCTGGTCGAATTCGAAGTCAGTATAACATCGTTTAAATGTATATGCGGATCATAGTCATTCGTTCAAATTCGTCTCTGAAATGAATATACGGATAAAATAGAGTGAAACTAAAGCCTTACAGATGCTGAGCAAAGCCAGGGATGTATTGGTTTTACGTTCTGTTTTTCTTTCTCACTGAAAACATTTTTTGGGACAGTCGATTTTTGAATCACTAAATGTTCCAAAGCAAAACATCTATCGTGATTAATATTTTCATATATTCGTACATTGATTTTAGATGGATTAATTTCACCATAGTTATATGTATTCATTTTGTACTTGATTTTTTAAATTTTTTTATCGTTTATTATTTCTTTGAAATCCCTCAGTTTTCTTAAACTTTAAATTGATTAACTAAATTTTTGTCTATAAATAACGCAGATTTCCTGAACACATTTTTTATACATTGACTCTGTCTAACGCGAGGTAAAATGCATAAATATATATATATAAGGTAATCGGCTTTGTCGAAAACCCATTTCTTGCGCCTTCGTTCACTCGGAAATCGTATAAAGATGTTCGATGTAATTTCGAAAATCTTCGAATGTGTTTCGTTTTGAAACGTCAAGAATAATTCAATTTTCGATGATAATCCATATCCGCGTAGTATTAGTTTAAGTTAAATTGGTATACTTCTTCCTTTATGCTTCTATAATTCTCAACTTACTTCAGTTGCTCAAATTATTGAATTCTTTATTTGTGCGCACGCGTTGAACGATGCCCTAGATGTCTTGTAAGTGGTGTAATGTAGAGTGTGAAAAATAACTTGGGATTCATTAATAATCCGCCGAAATTTTAACTGAGTATATACTTTTACGACAATTCAATAATAATAATAATAATGTATACGCACGTATATGCATAAGACAAAGTGCTTGTTTAGTTATAAGTATGTATATATATACTACTCTTAACAAAAATAAATGATTTACAACGCGCTCTTAAAGTTATGAATGTTACTTTTTCTTTGAAATCAAATCTTAACTTTTACTATTATTCATGTATCAAACAAAATGTACAATATTTGTTACGCATTTAAATGTGAGTTACACGTTACGGGTTATCGATTAAAAAACTTATGATATTAAACATTATAGCTGACTAGTGTTATTTTTATAAAACTCTTCAGGAAAATACTCTTTATCGGTAAACACATTGTTTTTATACTTGAATTTGCTTTTACAAAATTTGAGCACTCAATGTTACATTGTTTCAAATATTATTAAGAATAATTGATATCCGGACGTTTATAAAAAATTTACGCTCTTTACATAATATGACTGTATTTTTCTTAATAATAGTACTCACTGAATATTTCGCGAGTATGATGTATCGAAAGTTCTGTTTATTTTGAAAATGCATTAGTCTAATGAACTAAAGAAAGTATAGTCTTTGTTGGTTAATATAAATTCATAATTTAATAAAATTTGATGAGATTTATTTTATTTATAAATTTCAAACTTTGCAATTGAGTTAAAGTTTTTTACATTTTGTTTTTTATCTTGTGATAAGTTATAAAGCGTTAAATAAAAAGTTAGAGTACACAAGAAAATAATTTTTACAAGGCGTAAATAGGTTAAAAAAATGTCCAAACATAGAAAAAAAAAATGCTTAAAGACAAAATTAATTGAAAAACACTTAGAATAATATTAAATAATTCCATATTATAAGATAATAGAATATTCAAAATTTTGTATTTGAAAATTTTTCCAAGTATGAATGTGACAAAACAGAGAATTTTTGAGACATAAAATTTACTCACTCGTTAAAACTTTGGATGTGTTAATATGCGTTAATATTATTTATTACATTTATTATATTACATGATCGACAAAATACTTAAAACTATTTTATTCTCTGCCAGTACAAATATAGTACGTTATTAGATTATATAAACTTAGCTATAGTCGAGCTGTTGTGTTTCGTTTTAGCGAATCTTAATTGAATTAGAAAAATAAAAAATCATAGTACGTTACTTATTATAGACATAATATGTTTAATCTTAAGAAACATTTCAATTTCTTTTATTTGTACAGCTTACAAGTGCAGCAGTTATTATTGCAAAACAAATAGGTACTTAATGAAATGTGTTGATCAAAAATATGGAACAGTAGAAATCGTATGCATGATAACCAACACATTATATTTATTGCTTCTAGGTCGTAACAATAATGTGTATACATTGTAGTTATAATTCCGCCATATTTGAATACATCATAATAAAATATATTACACTATTAAAGTAATTATAAAAAATAACAACTGGGATTAAAATACAAATATATATATATATATATTAGCAACTGTGATTCGATGAACCGTTGTAGGTTAAGTACTTCAGTTAATCGTTTTCTATGATCAGTACCGCGCATAATGTTAAACATGAATTTTAATTTATCTAAACGATATAAAAAAAAAACAACCCAACAATATTATTTTTATTTTATTATTGTAATTTATTTTTGAAATGATTCCACAATTTCAATTCTCATTTAAATAAATAACAAAAATTGACAGAAATAAAATAATTATTTCGATGTTTTTGCATTTAAAGCTTTTTTCTACAAAAATAATATACGCTTTAATTATAAATACGACTGTGGATTGTAAATAATTTTTTTATTATAATCTGTTTTAGTTTTATTCAAATTTTAATTCAATTGATTAGAAATTATCTTACTACCTAAATATTTGTTCCCTTCTTTTTCCTATTTTTTTGTTATGAATCACAAAGTAGACGTAACAAGAGGATTCAATATCAGAGTATTTCTATTCCGTTAGCTCAACAATAATATACTTTAAAATTGCAGGTATTACATTATTAGATAAATTTATACGAAATCATGTGAAAAATAAAAATATTAAAAAAATACTTAAATTATTTATTAAGTACTTGAGTGATAAGAAAACACTTGTAAGTTTAGACAGACAGTGAATGCGATCACGGTACGAACATGATCAGTGTTTAAATACATTTGCGTGCGAGAAGTTCTCATTGTATTTAAATGTATTTATTGTTGTAGTTTAAAAATTAAATTAATAAACTGACATGGTAAATATTTAAATTAATCGCTATAGAATAATAATAATGATATTATGCACATAACTACGATAACAAATGTATTTTAAATATCTATAAAATATTTATTTTATAATTACTGGTTTGATTAAACATATTTTCTTGTCGACAGTAAAAATTTATTTAATATGCATTTAAGGCGTATTTTTGCTTAAAACAGTTTAAAAATAATTGGTCGTTTTAGGATGTAAAAGAAATTAATTCTCACGAGGATCGTATCAACGTTGGGCTATCAGAACAAAGTGCTACAGATGATATAAGGTACGGCGATGAACGCATTGATACATGTTGCGTGAACAAAGGATTTGAAGAATCGAATAGCTCGAAAGAAGATCTAACTAATATGGTAAGTTGCCCAAGTTGAGTTGGAATATATTTAATTTTTATTTCAAGTATTCAAATATAACTTATCATAGCTCGTATATCTATTAATCGAAAAAATTGGAATTTTATAAATATATCCGTCTGAAAAACTAAAGGTAAAACAGAAGATCGTTGAATTATTTATTTATAATTATACACAATTCGTCGTAGGCAAAGGTAATTTCACTTACAATTACTACATTGTATTTACATGTGGTATGTATTTACAGGGATGTTATATATTTAAATAAATTAGTAGTTTGTAAGTTTAAAATGACAATAAATACCTTCAAACATTTTACGTAAATTATTCATATCATTCATTAGTTTTATAACTCATTATTTATAATGTATATTTTCATAGACATGTGGACATTTCAAGTATTTATTTTTTTAAATTTTATTTCAATTTATCATTTGCTAAAAAAGTACATAAAATTCGTTTTTAAAATGAATAGATACGTCATGAGAAAGAAAGGTGCTGCTTTAGTGACCAATGGGGTACAATGTGGTATTACGGTAATTTATGGGGATGTATTGCAAATGTAGTGCCACAAGTAACTTTAGTAAAATTTAGAGTTTAAATTCGAGTTGATTTTAATGGTATTTTGTGGATCAGTTTTCCTTTATATAGTGTCGATTTGAAAGGCGAATGAGAACAACCCTTAAACTCAATGACGTGTTTTCATTCAAATAAAAAGTGCGTATTTCGGAAATCATTATAATGGTATAAATTATTATTTATTTCATTCGTTTAATTTAGTCTTGGTCGTCAGCGCATTGTGCATAGAGTACATGGTCGAACAATTGCAACGTTGATGGCATGTCTTTGGCAGTGATGGTATTCACCTAAAATAATGAACTTTAAAACATCAACGTTGTTTAAAATGTCAACGTTGTTCCGGCCGATCGTACGAGAGAATGCGGAATTACGGTAGTACGTGTGTCCGGTGGCGACGGGTCGGATATTCGTGCAACGCGGAGACCCATATCAGTCGTAACCGATTTAACGTGCGGGATATGTTTATAGTTTTCGTTTCTTAAGATTATTCGGGACGGTCAAACGCAGTCGTGTAGAAAAGTCTGAAAGCCGAGGGATTGACGCAGAGGAACTGCTCAAAAAATGTTATAGTTTCCGGGAGACGCCGAAAAGTACAGTGACTAATGGTGTCGAGGATTAACATTTTAAATTCATAGCTCTAGATTACACAGGGATTTATACGTCATTAGGTCTTTATGAAACGATTATGTACGTACGTTTTATCGCACGTGCACAAGTTATAAAACCGGAACACGACGACGGGACATCGGAAAACGGTTTGAAACGTTGTCGTGGCGGTATTATATAGTTTTCAAACGTTTCTCTCTTCGACGGGTTACAAACAATGTACGAAGTACCCCATAAGTTTTTCTGTTAAAGTAATCACGAAGCTCAGATGATATTTAGTCTTGGTGAACTTTTTTTTTAAACAAATGTTATACACGAGAACCATCTACGGCATTTTATATTGATATCGATAAACAAAAAAAAATATATGGATACACATTTTTCGTTTGAATAATATTTGAAGTTATTCTAACAGTGTTAGTGTTGTAATATACACCATCAATGGGGCACGAATCTTAACGGTTTTGCATTCGTTTATATCTAGTTTATTCAATTCAATTGTATCCAAGTTAAGAAGATTGCCCCGTGAAATTATAATTCAATATTGTGCAGTTCCAATAGTGTGTTGTGCATTCTTGAAATAAATGCGAAGTGAACACCAGAATTATATAGTGCATTGAAGAGCTCTCGGGGAAGAACGACGATTACGAGAAATGAGGAATTTAAAAAAAAAAAACCATTAACGAGATTTATAAATAAAGTAGTATCGCGGCGGGTGATATTTCGTTCGGATGTGAAATCGTACGCGGATCACTGATATTTTGATCTCCACGGGCTTCCATCAAAATCCTTTTATGCAGTCGACATGACGTTCTCCAAAAGAATGTTTTTGTACATTCATTCCAACCTTTCAATTCGGGTGAAGTGGTGATGGAAGGGTGATTATAAACCCGTGGCTATGGGGTGGGTTCTGAACAACGTACATATATACACCGATACTCGCCGACAACGATGACGTCGAACAAAGTACCGGATAGTGATAAAACATGATTTGAGACCCGACTGTGGGTAAATATTTTAGATATTTACTCCCGATAGTTGTAACAAATCGATCGATATCGTCGAATGATTTGAGGAGTTTTTTTTTTCCTTTTTTTAAAATCACCGCGGACACGATGTCCTTGTTAAACGCTATTGAAAATACCTCGCCCGGACGAATTTGAGTGTATTATAGATAAGTTGCTGCATCATTTACGCGCGAACACCAACACCATAAACCTAACTGAAATGTATTTATAAACGTATCCAAACAATTATATTGAATAATAAATATTAAATAAATAAATGTTTGAATATCGTTGATGATAGCGTGTCATTCATTGTTTGTGCGTTAGAACTTTGATAATAATCATAAAACGCCGTTTGGCGATATTGCACTGTTTCAATGAGCTAATGTTTGTTTAGCGCGATTGAAATTTATGCAAGTGAGTTGCTATTATATATAGGTAGGTTGAAGTATGCATCAACTATTATACAAGTGTTATATTATATACCTTAGTGCTACGTAATTATTATATTACGTCCGTCTATATATTCGTAATTTAATGAGAAATTAACCGTTCATTTTTCGCGACAGTTATTTTAAAAATTATATAAATTAATCGATCAATACTCGATCTTTCGTTATAATGTAAAAACGCAACAATTATTAAGCTGCCGTCTTTATGAATCGCTAAATTGTTTGTGCAAAATACACAAATACACCAAATACCGTGTTTAATTCAAAGAAATATCTTATTAAAAGCACTTATGTGATAATAATTATTTACTGTGATGAGATAACAGGGTTTTTTTCTTCCTCTACTTGTCAATTTTTTTTAAAATTTATATTTATTCAATATAAGCATCAATACATTTTTTCCTCTATTAGTAAGTTCGCCTCAAATGTTTCTTAGATAAAATATAGTTTTACTGTATGCAAGCCCGGATTAAGACCTTCAGGGACTCAGGGCCCAATATATGGTTGTAGGCCCCCACTAATGAAAACAGTTCTTTAAAATGATAAATATATTTAATAAAATAAATTTAAGATTCTTCAATTAAGTATGATAAAAACATTAAAAACATATTTTTTATTATAATACATAAAATAAAATAAAATAAAGTATTGTATATAGAAGTATTTTTTCTTGCTTTTTGCTTAGTAAATACTTTTAAGGATTTATTTTACACATAAAATTGGCTATAGGTCTCCACTTATCATTCCTATGGTGGTAAACATGCGGTAGATGGGAGATCGTTAGTTCAAAAAAAAAAAATATATATATAAAATATTCTTGTAAGTGCTATAAAAAGTACAAATTACCACTGAATGTAATTTTAAGCCAAGAAGGCATAGGCCTTTTATGTACGTGGGCTCTAAGGATGTGTCCCCTCTCCCACTTTCTGGGTTTGATCGTATGTCAACCTCAGTTATGTAGAGTACGCGTATCGTACCCCACTAAATATGTGAAGATATTTTTTAGAATTTATTGTTTTTAGATCTTATCGTTGTTTCAAGCTCTAAGTATATGATATATGTCACGAGTTGAGGACACATATTGTTTTATACACCTATCGTTTAAAACTTTTCGTAAATTGTACTTTAATATACATTTTTCAATTTTAGTAAGTAGTAATAAATTAAATATCCTACTGACATTTTTTTTCCCTCCAATACATTCAAATAATATTTACACAAAATTATCATACAAATATTAATACATTTATTCGTGCTATATTTTAGTTTAAAGTTTCAAATTTAATATTTTACAATTCTTTGTATTGCGTTGATACGATGTATTTTTTAATAAGTCGATTTTCCCAATTATACATACACAAATACTAATACAAAATATTTGTATTGACTACGTAGAATAGTATAATATAAATACATATACAAATACAACCACCATATATGTAATTAATTTTAAAATTATCACTATCATTTTTTCAATTTTTATTTAGTAGAATGTAATATTATTTCAAGTAGTTCAAAATATATTACCATATAGAATTTAATAGTGATAACGGAAAGGGCTATTATTATGGTTATTGTTATCTTGCATGATGGAATAACGGTACCTATTCGCTCAAATATGGTATAATGATCATTGTTACCATTACTATTATTATTATTATTATTATTATCTCTGATCAAACATATAGGTAAACCGAGCTGTATTAATAACGTTACAGGTCGAGGTGGAATCAGATAATTTCTCTAACAACGTGATCCTTTCGGATGCCCTTAAAAAAGCGCAACGCGATGGCTACGTTAATAATGCATTCGAAGATGGCCCTCAGAAATCTACAGATAAGGTGAATGATAAACATAATGTGCATCTATGTAGGTATATATATATATGTGTAAAAACTTATAACAGCCGGATTTATATAGGTCCAATGGGCATGCGTTTTTCTTTTTTTTTTTAAGGCATACTTAGCTAAAAGTGCATAAATAAATAGCTACTGTTAAATAATCGTATATCATAGATAATATATTTAAATTATTATTTTTTGTCATTAATAACAATTTCGGTAATCGGCATGTATATAATTTCACTCAAATATATTTGTTACGATTATGTTTTTTGCTTTTAAATCAATTTGATATAATATTGTTTTTATTTTCAAGCATTTAAACACACACAGATACATATATGCATGCGCACACATACGCATGTTAACCGGGGGGCAGATAAAACTTCAGAACATGATATACACATACAGATGTACAAATGTATTAAATACATACATTTAATTTAATTTTTATTTTTTTTTTCATAAATTTTATACTTCAAAAAAATTAACTTTTTAATTCATGTTTTATATGTGGTATATGTTAAAATAGGGGACTCTGGTGCCGCAGGCACATGATTCCACTGTCATTACTTCCGCAACATTAGAGAACCAAATTACAAAACTGGATGAAGACAATAATGGGGTGGTGGCCGTTAATTTGGAAACGAAAGAAAAGAAGCGGAAAATACAATCGGTCGGATGGGACACAAATAGAAGCATAATTTTTTTTGGTCTCATATTGGCTTTTGATGTGTGGGCAGTCATATTTTATTGTTTTAAAAGAGACATACTTACTGATATTCTTAATTAAACTGTTGACAATATTATTATCATTACGATTGTTTAAAGGTACCAATTGAATACATTATTTTATCTTTTATAATATATTTAGAAAATAGATATAAAACAATGAATTAATAAAATATATCAGTTTTCATTTATCGCTATAATCATGGATTTTTTGCGTAATTTTTTTCATATATTAATTGTATGGATTATAAAATATCAAATAAATAATCAGTCTCTAGAGGAGGAATTAGACACACGTATGCAAACACTCTTGCAATAATCCGAAAAATGATATTTAACTTACTTATTGATAATAAATGCCCTTAAATAAAACTCAGTACAGAAAATACATCAGAATACAGCAAAAGTAACTATACAAAGCGTATGATTTATTATTAATAAAAAAAAAATAAGTAAATTATTTATGATTAAAGTAAAGATTTTAATAATAAGTAGTGAGAAAGGATTACGTAATTATTAAAAATAATCAAAATGTTGTAATAAATTTCCAGTAGTTAACATTCTAATAATCGGAACAAAATCACTGTAACTTAGGCACTAGATATTGATATATCAAGTTTGAGATACGCAAGTATTAACACAAGGGATTTTAAGAGTATTTTATATAACATAGTATTTCAGGACAGTTAATTTGTTATTGAAGTAGTTTGTATGCCAAATCACATTATTGTATTTTTTTTTCCTTTCAAGCAATTCAATATTGAAATTGATTGCTAGTTGTTCAAACGAAATACTTTTTTTGTTCGTTTTATATGCAAATACACGTAAAAGAAAATTATAAAAACGCTGAATTTTGATTATTAAACTAGATCGATGAAGATTCCAAATTACTGAGTTATATTTCAAAATAAAGCCAACCAAAGACAAATATAGTACTTTTATACAATTTGGATTTTTAAGCTCTGAGGAATTATAATATATACACTCGAAGGCGTGGAGAGTTTTATTACACATTTTGTTTTTAGTACTATTAAAAGATAAGTCACTTAAGAGGACGTGATACCCCCCGATTTTTAGTGTAAAAACATGCCTACGCAAAATTATGATTACTCGTTACCTAGTAGTTTCAGAGTAAAAACATCTATTATAAGATCTAAAATTAATAACATTTTGGAGAAAATGACATATCATTTTTTTAAATAACGTATATATATATATATAAAGTTATGATCGTTTAAAAAAGTAAAAAAAAATTATTTTTGAATACTAGATAGTATGCAGGATATTAAGTTAATTAAAAAATGGATATGAAATTTTCAACAAAATGTTGTCTACTTTAGATTTTATAATAGGTGTTTTTTCTCTTAAGTCACTATAAAACGAGTAATCGTAATTTTGCGTAGGCATGTTTATGTTGTAATTTTTAATTTATATTGCCGTTATGTGCTGCCACCTGCATGTCAATATGATGGCGGCTGCGATTTTTTCTTACTACGCCAAAAAGAACTGTTGGAAAGCCGGGACAGCAACGTTCGCGGCTGACCGTCGACGTTATCTGTAATTCTACGAAAAATGCATACTATTATTATAAACAGTTGATGGTGTACCTATATGATTATATTATATTATTATTATTTAATATTTAGCCACACGCCTTTATTCACAGTTATACTACCTACTATTCAGTAAAAAATATAGATATCTATCTGATTTTTTTTTAATATTTATAATTTTGAAAATAATGATTTTTAATTTTTTTAAATGGCAAATAAAAGCAGAAAAATCAAACGGTCTAACAGAAAATTGTTGAGTAAATTCCTTATATTGAAGCTAAATTTTCAGCTAGTTTAGATGTGCCATGTATGGCCCCTACGACGTATATAAAATATAATGACAAAATGGATATGGAAGCCACGACATGGAGTATTATGAAACTTGCTGGTATCGAAGAAAGAAAGTTAGCTTTAGAGACAGGTGCAGGCTCGTATTTAGGGGGAGGGAATGGGTAGCCATTGCTCGGGGGGCGTCAAGTCTTAGGGCCGGTAAAATATTTTAGCAAAATTTATTTTAAAAATGATGTACCCAATAAAAAAAAAAAATAAAACAATAAAAAAAGAAAATAGTATGTTTTATTATGTTATAATTTGTTTAATTTGTTAATTAAAAAAAATATTAAATGATTTTCATTTATAAGTTATATTTTAATAATAAAGAATCTCGATTATGGACGAAATATTAAGTGTTATACATTGGTTGCCGCTTATTAGACTCACGGTTAATTGACTTATTCGCTTATTAGACTCAAAACGACTATTCCCAATTTGCATCTATACTAACACACAGCAAAAAATTCGTCTATTAGACTCACACACCGGTTAATGGGGTCATTTTAAATTAGATAAATAAATATAATATTGTACATACGTCCAATACGTACAAGTAATCATGCTATAATTGCATATAAGTGATTATGAAGTTGATCGAGGAAGGTTAGGTTAGTTAAATTCAATCAACTTTGGATGGATTCTTATTGAAAATGTAACTATGTATGTAATTCGTTACTTTATTACCGTATTTTATTACATTATTTTTATTCAAACAAAATATTTTATATTTAATACTTATACTTTATTTTATTACAGCATAAAACAATGCTGAAATCTCAATAAATATTTTTTAAGTAAATAAGTATTTTTACTTTTTTGTGGGGGGGTCATTCGTTTTATCGACTCATTCGGTTAATAAACTCAAATGACCAGGTCCCAAAGTGAGTCCAATAAGCGGCGACTACTTTATTATTATTATTTATTTGGGGGGGGGGGGGAGAGCTATTAAAATCAGATATTTTTGAACCCAAACATATATCCAACAATATAAAAAATAAAAATGAGAACATAAAAGTTTAATAATATTGAATAAAATATTAATATGCATATAATATATTAATTCATTTTTATTTTAATGTAAATATTATTGTAATATAGCCTATCAGACATTTTTTTTAGTATAATTATTTGTGTACACATTATAAGACATAATAATCTTAATCAATAATTAGTTCGTAAGCAGGCGCGAAAATTATATGAATTTTGACTATTGTGGTGATATTATTATAATCACCATTATATTATTTTTACATTATCCTCATTCTAAGACGGTTGATGAAACAATAAAATACTCGCCCGCTTGTTGATTATTTTTAGACCGTTTTGTCAATCGCGCGATAACAACTATGACTTTGTGTGGGTTCGTCTCGTGCTTGCGCTGTGTAAAAAAATCTAATAGCGCTTCCTATCGGTCATTATAATCGTTTCGCTTTGGGTATAACGACCTCTAAATAACATACTACTAAAATCATTAATTTAAAATATTACCGTCCAATTTGATTCATAAATTCTCTATTAATTTTTTAAATTTGAGTTTTGTTGTGAAAAAATAATTGGTGTTAACCTTTAAATAATGATCAAAACTAACAAAAATTACATTAAACTGTATTAATTTACAGCATTATGGTTGTAAATCGTACGTACATGTCTTCAATCCTCTCACCAAAGAAATTCTAGAAAATTATTTTGCAAATATTTGGTCGCTATTTATTTGAATTTGTTTGATAATTGTCAGACTTTGTTCGACTATAGGTTTTACACAATACCAAAAACTACGAGAAGGAGCTGGGGAAATATGTCTACAACCCACAATAGTTTAAATACTTTGGATATCTCATTTGTTAATACAATCGTATTGTTTGTCATTTGTTTGAATTTGTTTGACAATTTTCAAAATATTCATTAAACCTTACTGCTGTTATATGATTAATAAAAAAAAAGTGTTCTTTTAATTTTATGTATTATACAATGCATTTCATAATTTTGATGTTTAAAATATATAATATTGATCTAAATTAGTCAATGTATTATTTTAAGACGTGCAAATATTGTCTGTATGTATTATTAAATAAAATAAACCATAAACCATAGTGTTAATATGTAATACAAATGGTAGAATCACGGTGATTAGTATTAGTTATAAAACTCTAATCTTAAAAAATAAATAGTCTACACTTTAAAATCGAATGTAAAAATAACTTAAGTTGTAGAAAAATTGATGTGTTTACAATACTATATATTTTGTAATTCTCATTTAAATAAAAAACTATCGTTAATCGATATATTTTGTTATTAGGCTATCGTATGTCATGAACGAATGTTATATTGATTTATTATATCTACCATTTATATTATCATATTTAAGTAATTTAAATTCGTTGTATTATATTTCAATTAATTTGTTATCAATTCAATTATTTTAATCTGTTAACGATATGAGTAGAAAACCTATTGTTGAACCATAATTTATTATTAAAACAATTTCACTTTTCAAAGACAATATTAAAATTAGGTCTTTTAATCGTCTACAAACACCTTTTACTCTTTACATTTTTTAACACTTATTTTAGATTGTGGTTGAAAGGCATTGGTTTTACAATGTTGCGAGTTTTAATTTTTTATTTTTTGTGTCTAAAGAATAAACAATACTAGAACTACTGCATTGAGTATCAAGTTCAGAAATATATGGGCTATTTATTAATTTATATATATTTAAATTATAAAATTGTTGGTTGTAACTACCAAATTATTATTTTTTTTTTTGTAGTATCAATAACGAAAATATAACACAATTAATACATAATGGAAAAAAAACATAAATCAATAATGAAAAAAAAAAAAATAACAAAAATCAAACAGTAATATTATGATTAGGAATTTCATAACAAAAATTACATAAATTAGAAATTACAGTTTAAACTCATGGTGCTAACAAATTATCAGTGTCATAAAAAAATTTAAATTATCAAAAAGCAGGAGAGGCAGGAGAAAATAGATTTTTCACTCATTACGAAAGTAGGGGCAAAATGAAGATTTTGCAAATTGTCAAAAAAATTCAAACAAATTACATATAACACGATCGTAATAACAAATGAGATATCCAACGTATTTAAACTAGTGTGGATTGTAGACATATATTTCCAGCTTCTTCTCATAGTTTTTGATATTGTGTAAAAACTATTACTGAAAAAATTCTGATAATTATCAAACAAATTCAAACAAATGACGAACAAAATATTTGCAAAA